ACTTGCCCCTACAGTCTGTTAAGGCTACACGGGGGATCTTTGTCTGTGCGTGCGTGTCCGTGCGTGTGTCCGTGCGTGCCGTCAATGAGCGGTTGTGAGAAGCCACGCCGAGAGCTCCTAACATGGCGAGTGAAACGCTCGAAAGTTCAGGGCGCGAGTTCCCAATCATGGGGATTACGTGGAGGATATGACGGGAGAGTTATGGCTTCACCACGGCCACTCGTTGCTTTCATTGCTCGCTTTCTCCGTCACTTCACGGAACTTTAAAAAAAATCAAATCTCGCGTAATAAATTGTGGCAAGAGTGCTTTAATCTCTTCGCTAAGTAGTAAGCCGCAATTAATCACGAGTGGGGATCTAGTAAAGTGCTTTTATTCGCGGAATGCACATCAGTATTAAAGCTCGTGCGAATTTCCACTCAGTGACTGTTTTGGTTGGAGCACGAGGCCGAGTATGAATAAAACATTGGGCCCCATCTGCCGCGCGGCCGCTCGGCGCGCAGTTGGCGCGGCGTGGGGTACCGGCGGTCTCGACGTCCAGACCTGGATCCCCCACATTTAGCCCCACGAGCCAACGGGCTTGGTCGGGACCACCATAGGGGGTAAATGCTCCTCGAATTTACCATGGGCAGTGGTCCATCATGGGCAGAAGCTTAATGTGCATTCCGTCTGTTTTATGAACACGCTACCTCTTAATTTTCCTATTCCGCAGATGTTTCATATCACCGTAAGTTTTTGGTTTTGTTTTCCACAATTAAATTCCCAATTACACTTCCTGTGGCAGGCAGCCTTAAGTTTGTTTTTTATAGAATCTCGTAAAAAGCTACTACAGTGATCTTGCTGTCGTGCATATTTATAATCTAGAGATACAATGCTGCAATAAAATCATGGTCAGTATTTTACCACCTTGGGTCGTACCAATAAACCCTTTTCGAGCCAATGGCTGGCCGGTGTTGTTTACTCTACGGTGTAGAGCACCGGCTGCAGCCTGAGCGGGAGGAACGAGTGGCCAGATGCGTTAATCGCCTTAACTTAAATCTCCCCAGAGTTTTTTCACTTTAGCTGGAGTAAAAATCCGAGTGGATTTTTTTTTTACTTTCAACTCAAACGAGCATGTCAATTTGTTTATTGCCTTCTGAGAGTTCGTGGAGACTAATGGTCTCTCGCAAGGGAGAAGCTCGGGTTTCGAAAAGCAACAGAGTGCATGTGCTGAGTTTTTTTTATTTATCCTCGTGCACCGCTGCCAACCGGTAATCGCCAAATATGAATAATAATAACAGCAGACGCGGTTCATGACGCGCCACGCATCGCGACACGGACGCAACGTTCGACCGAAAACTCGGGAGGCGCGGAGCCAGAGCTCAATAATAATGATTTGTTTTGTTTTCAAAACCATGAGTTTTTCTCGATGAAGCAGGAAGCACGCCCATGCCCGTGGGGAAGTTTTTATTAGTCTCCGGTTAAGTTAAGGATTACACCCGTGACCAGGGGCACAATTCACCGACTTCAACGGGCGGGCTAGGCAAGATACGACTGTGTACACCCCTCGTTTCTCCCGACTCACTTTTACTGAAATAGCTGCGGATGTTAATAACCCGTACACAATAATATGTCGGCTGTCATTATATCATGTTAGTTGCACAGTGTATTGGGTTTAGAGGAAGACACTCTCCCAGTGACAGTATTCATAATGATCACAAGGAAGTTATCGTGCGTCTTGCTTTCATGCCGGCCCCATTGATCTAGGATTTCCTCAAAGGGGGTGGGATCCCGCAACTGTATGCTGTTCTATTGATATGATGCGTTAATCGGGCTTCGTCCCTGATAGACTGCAAGAAAAAAGCTTTATGAATATTTTTTGAGACATTATCTTGACATATTTTACGCGTTTATCTGTTGATTCGGGGCCCACTTGTGGCCAACCGGGCCCCTTCGTGTTACAAAACGCTGCCACATACCCCATAGTCGCGCCCCTGGGCGCGTTTTATTAGTCTCCGGTAAACTAAGGATTACGACGGCGACCTTTATGGACACTGCAGCCCAACGTGTGGCCGGCCCGACGTCTGGGACCTGCCACGCGCCATTGTAGCCCTGCCAGCAGCGTCAAAGCAACATACCCAGCGCCTAATCCCGATCCCCGGTGGCTGTCGCACACGCAGCTGCGCAAGCTGCGTGTGCGAATCCCCGCAGGACTCACAAAGTCTTTCTGCTCCTAACGCTTGGAAGTGTCAACAGTGGTCTGGAGTTTGCCCGCTTAAAACTAGTGCTGCTAGAAAAACATTGGTCCAGAAGGCTCATAAGGCTGGTGGACTAAAATGTGAATTCATTTTATTTTTACACGGTTAAAACAGAACCGCATGTATTTAGCAAAACGATGTAAGCTTCAAAGGTCAGTAAACATATCCAAAGTTTAAATCGTTTCCCACTCAAAAACGCGTGGGGATGGAATAGTGCAGGGCTTGCCAAGGAATTGTGCAAATCATTGCCATTGTCTGCGTTTCACCTCCTCTACCCATCAGTCACACGTGGGCATGGGCACCAGAGATCCAGACTCTCTTGGACCAGGCTCAACAGACTGCTTTGTGGCTTTGAGTGTCTCGGCACCATCCCGGTCTGTGTGCCACCCCTACTACCGCTACTACACGTGAGTGCAGAGCTGTCCAGCAGACAGCCATCCATCCACATTGTTGAGGAGAGTCCCTCACAATGAGTGGGAAGGCCGAGTGAACAGGATGAAGTGGTTCAGTGACTTGGATGGACAGCTTTGATAGCAAACGCAAGAAGTAAAAGATTGCTGATGGCCTGGCGAGGCCTGTTTAGAGCTCACTTGGTATCTTGGCGATGCCTGTTAAGACCTCACCTGGTGCCCTGGTGAGGTCTGTTTAGACCTCACCTGGTGCCCTGGTGAGGCCTGTTAAGACCTCACCTGGTGCCCTGGTGAGGCCTGTTAAGACCTCACCTGGTGCCCTGGGGAGGTCTGTTTAAAGCTCACCTGGTGCCCTGGTGAGGCCTGCTAAGACCTCACCTGGTGCCCTGGTGAGACCTGCTAAGACCTCACCTGGTGTCCTGGTGAGGCCTGTTAAGACCTCACCTGGTGTCCTGGTGAGGTCTGCTAAGACCTCACCTGGTGTCCTGGGGAGGTTTGTTTAAAGCTCACCTGGTGCCCTGGTGAGACCTGTTGAGACCTCACCTTGTGTCCTGGGGAGGTTTGTTTAAAGCTCACCTGGTGTCCTGGTGAGACCTGTTAAGACCTCACCTGGTGTCCTGGTGAGGCTTGTTTCGAGCTCACCTGGTGCCCTGGTGAGACCTGTTAAGGTCTCACCTGGTGCCCTGGTGAGGCCTGCTAAGACCTCACCTGGTGCCCTGGTGAGACCTGCTAAGACCTCACCTGGTGCCCTGGTGAGGCCTGCTAAGACCTCACCTGGTGCCCTGGTGAGACCTGTTAAGACCTCACCTGGTGTCCTGGTGAGGCTTGTTTCGAGCTCACCTGGTGCCCTGGGGAGGCGGCTGTGCGTGGTTTGTCCCCTTGAGGATCTCGCTGCAGGCCTTCGACTCGTCATGCGGGAGGCCCAGGATGTGCCCTGGGCACACGCAGTGAGCAGCAGCAGTGGTCATCGTCGGGTGAGGAGTGGCTCGTCACCACGAGATCGATCGTTGCAATATGAGGTTACGATTTGATGCTGGAAGTAATAAAAACAAATCTTGGTTCGTTCTATTGCATTTGTACTGTCCGTAGAGCCTTATGTAATTTAATTTTAATCAATGCATATGAATATTTTTGACTTCTTAAGTTTGTATTCAATACTCGATGCCACCAATAGAAACTTTGTACTTTTATATGAATTCCCAAATGATAATTTATCAACGTTCTTAAAATGTCCCAGTTTCCTCGAGGACCCACAGTGTGTCGTGTGATCTCCAAGCGAAAAGTCAGTGGGCCTCTGTTGCCCTCTGGCTCTTTGCTCTGAAGATGAATGCCATCCTAATAATCCATTTCTCTGGATTATGAGACGCACTTTTTTCCCGCTGTATTTTAATGTCAAAGTTGGCCTATTTTGGTCTCCTCTACCCAGCCGAATACAATATTCCAGGGCACACAAGTGGGTGTGTGATCATAATAACAATTCACACTCGTAAAGCAACGTTCCAGTGCTGCACAGAGCAAAAAACTAAAATACTTTTTATAAACGAAAAAAAACATCCCCATTAAAAACCTCATAAAAGCACGGAGGCTCGTGATAAGAACACCCCACCAAACAAAATAAAAACCAAATTGGTCGAGATATATATAATGAATAGGAATTCCAAAAGGTCTTTAAGAACAGATGGCGGGAATTGAATGAGCCGAGGGACTGCTCAGTGCGGACTGAATATCTGGGAGGGGAGGGGGGGGAGTGAATTCCAGAGCCCTGGGCGGGCGGAGGAGGCGGCGCACAGGAAGGGGACCGGTCGTCCACCGAGCGGACGTGGGCTATGCGATGACGGATGTGGAACCTTCACCGGCTGTGGAACCTTGACCGGCTGTGGAACCTTCACCGGCTGTGGAACCTTCACCGGCTGTGGAACCTTCACCGGCTGTGGAACCTTCACCGGCTGTGGAACCTTCACTGGCACCTGGGAATGCTCCCGTGCGTCTCTGGGACTCCGTGTGTGTGCGCGGTGTGGTGCGGGTGAGCGGTGGCGCTGCGGTTAGCGCGCTGCTCGCGGGAACCCAGCGACCCGAGTTCGATTCCCGCTCACGGCCACCAACGCCGGTGACGATTCTCTGATTCTGTCCTGCGCCTCCCGTCGGGCGACTCGGCCTCAAATGAGTACCTGGTGCGACGTGTACACATCGCCCCCGGGGGAGACAAAGGCGGCTGGGCTGGCGTTGGTGTCGACCACCCACCCCCTCGTATATTCCATGCACGGTGGGCTACGTACGGTGCCAAAGAAGTTCAAGCCACATACACACACGCAGACACACGCACACACAACACGTTGGGCGCGAGCGGACACGCACCGATCTCGTGCGCCATCGTGTAGGCGGCCGTCATGCCGTGGTCCCGGATGAGTGCGCAGCTGCGCTGGGGGTCGCACACGGTGCCCACGTCCGCCATGCCCAGCGTGTGGCAACTGTGCGCCCCGCAGAGCTCCTGCACAGCGGCACACACGGTGGGGTGAGGGGGGGGGGGTGTCGACATCGCGTGGCACTCGAGTTCGCAACTGCCGAGGCCCCCCCCCCTCTGCAAGAACGAACAACGCAAGAGTGGCTGGCGCAAAAATTAAAAGCTGCTCAAGCTTTAAATCGACTCGTGAGATGGATTGGCAGGAGGCATTGTGAGATTGTCAAAGACGTACACATACGGAGCCTGCTTTTGGTCAATCCACTGCTGGATGAAAGCCATCCCCTCGCCTGGTCTCATTGGCTCCCATCCCCACGCCTGGTCTCATTGGCTCCCATCCCCACGCCTGGTCTCATTGGCTCCCATCCCCACGCCTGGTCTCATTGGCTCATAGCTGGTTATCATTGTCTGCCCCACACCTGTCCATCACGTGTCCATCACGTGTCTGCATGTCACATGTCCGTCCAACATGCCACGTGTCCGTCTCGTGTCGGTATACCGTGTCACGTGTCTGTCCATTGTCACATTTCCGTCACGTGTCGGTTCGCCGTGTCACGTGTCAGTCCATCGTGCCACATGCCCATCACGCGTCTGTCCGTCGTGTGTCTGCATGTCACAATGTCCATCTGCCAGGTGTTGTCCGACGCCCTGTGTACCTGTACCTGTCGCGTGAGCAGCACGGCCACGTGGTGCGTGGGAACGGCGCCGCCTCGCATCTCGCGCCTCTGCCACGCGCAGAAGCTCCTGAGCATGGCGGCGGCGTCGCCGCGTGTCGCGGGCACCGCGGGGGCCGCCGCCAGCGGCGCGGGGGCCACGCGGCCCCCCGTGTCGTTGGCCGCCGGCTCGCTCCGGCCCCTGCCGGCGTGGGGGGACGTTCCATTGGCCCCGTCGTGCTTCTCGCCCGGTTTTCCGTCGCCAGATTTGCCGCCGTGCGGTTTGTCGTGCGATTCGGATTTACGGTCCGATTTGACGGACGGAGTCGCTGTGCTCGTCACTCTGCGCTCGGTTCTGCCGGAAGATTTATCAGCAGGAGCGTTGCCGTCCGGTTTACCATGCGGTTCGTGGTCTGGCTTGGAGGCAACTTTACTGCCCGATTTATCGTCCGCTTTGCTATCATCGGATTTAGCGCTTCCCGAGTTGTTGTGCACTATACCGGCAGACGAACCAAACGGTGTGAGTGTACTGTTTAATTTACGCTCTGTTTTACCGGCTGATTTATCAAGAAGTGGTCTACTGTTGACATTATCGTCCGCTTTAGTCTGTGATTTGTCTTCAAGTTTCACGTCTGATTTAGCTGCTACTTTACCTTCCGGTTTACTCTCGGATTTGCCAGCTGATTTGTCATCTAATTTACTGCCTGATTTATCATCAGATTTACCATCTGATTTGCTGTCTAATGTATGAACAGATTTACTGTTTTCAGATCTGTTGTAAGATTTAATGATTGGTACCCTATCAAATTCAGCGTCTATTTTACCCTCTGAATTTTCATTCAATTTACGATCAGATTTACTGTCAAACGTACCAAACAGTGGCCACTTATTTATTACTTTACCGCCGGTTTTAACACCTGGCTCACCCTTAGGTGGAGGCTTACTCTCCGCTTGGCCATGCACTTGCTTATCCGGTACAATTGAAGGTGGAATTTTACTGTCCGATCTGCACTCTGAATTCCCATCTGCTTTACAATTAGCTGACAGTCTGCCATTGATTTTACCATCCGATTTACCAACAGGCGGTGGTTTACCCTCCAACTTTCCATCTGCTTTACCATCTGTTTTGCCGGCAAATTTCAACAAAGGCTGTGGCTTTCCGTCTGACGTGCCAGTTGATTTATTGTCAAATTTACCATCTGCTTTGAGCAAAGCCGACAGTTTTGTGCTCGATTCACCGTCGGATTTGCCGCCTGCTTCACTGTCGGGACGCGGCCCAGCGACCGATTTGGCGCCCACTCGCAACTCACAATTTGATGTCTTGCCCAGCAGTGACAAACACCCTGGTTCACCTTCACTCTTTACCGTCCAGTGACAAATCGGCAATAGGTTTACCTTCGGAGTTATCGCCCAGTTGAGATTTATTGTAAGGTTTGTCCACCAAATAGCAGTTGTCCATGTACATTTCCATCTTTTGGCAGTTCCTGGTCCGTCTTAACCCATAGATCACCCTCTTTTTGGGATTTAACATCTGATTTACCATGCCGTGGTGATAGTGCTACCAAATGTTCCATCTTTTTGTTGTGTGTCTTCCAAATGTCCCTTCGCGTGTGATTTACACTCAGATTTACCACCCATTGCAGATTTGCTATCTACTGACTTTTCATTTGATTGCTCGTGAATTAACAATTTCCCAGCTATCAGTACGGAGGGCAAATCATCCGATTTGCTGCCTGCTGCAGAGGTGCCGTTTACTTCGCCACTCGCCGAAGGTTTACTGTGAACTGACACGCTACTATTCACTGGTGGTTGGCCATAGCCTTTTATATCCATTGATTTATCTTCAGATTTACTAAGCAATAGCAATTTACCATCTATTGAAGAAATACCATCTGAGATACTATCTGTTGATGGATTACCATCTGATAAACCATCTAATGATGATTTACCATCTAGTGATGACTTACCCTTGATTGGAAAGTTGCCCTCAGTTTTAAAACTCTCCATTGACACGCCGCCAGTTTCATTACGCTTTGCCAATTTTACCACCGTTGGAGATGTACCGCGTGAATTACCGTTCGCTAAATATTTGTTCGCCCCTTTACTTCCCACTGTAGAGTTGTCGCTCGTGGCTGTCACCGGTTGTCCCCCGTCCCTGGGAGATTCGCTCGACGCATTTCTGTGCCGCACGCCGTCTCCTTCCAAGTTCGCCCTCGCGGTGGCCGGAGTCCGTTGCGCGTGCTTGTAATGTAGCCACGCCTGAACGTCTGGAGACGAGTTCCCCCCCATTGCTGCTTTGCTATTGAACAGCCGTCCATTTGTGGGCGAGTCCTCAACATATCCTGTGCCACGTGAGCCCCGAGTGGTCTCTGAGCTCCCGTCTGTGTGTGGGCCGTTCCTGTGCAGTGAGCCCCTTTCACCGAGCACAGTCGCACCATCTGCCAAACTTCTACCCCTCGATTGGACCTTGCCGTCCTGCTCACTGCTCGCCTTCGCGTATCCATCAGATGGATCGCCACCCAAACTGGCACGTGCCAACCTATCACTCTCTGCCACGTGCTCAACTCCCCGATGGCTGCTGTCTCCAGCAGCCGCACTGACCACTCGAGGTTTCTTGTGGTCGCTCAGGGTGCCACCAGTCGGCAACCTCCTGTCCATGGCAAGATCACCCGAGGTTTTTCCCTTCACGGTCATTCCGCGGTCCACCGGCAGACCGGGTCTCGCAGGAGCGACCTTGCCGCCTCTCGGCGAGCGATCGTCCGCCACGTGACTTCCAATGACTCCCTTACGAGTTCTCGCGACCTCCCAGTGACCCGCGGCTTCCTTCTCGCGACCTGCGGCGACTTCGATGTGGCCTCCTTCGGCTTCCTCGGGCCGCGGGGACGACGACCCCCCCCCGCGACTCCGCGGCGGCACCGCCGCCTCCTCCCCGCCGCGGCCGCGGAACTCGTCGCCCTCCTCCAGCACGAGGACGCGCGAGACGGCGAGGTGCACGCGCTGGCGGGTGGTGGCGTGGGCCAGGAGCGCGCGGGCCGCGTGCGCCAGCGCCAGCACATAGTGCGCCACCTCGTGCGCGTCGCCGCGGTGCGCTCGCGCCACCCCCGCGTCGCACACGAGCAGCGCGTCCAGGCGGCGCGTGCGCACCTCGGCCCAGTTCACGCCCTCCCCGTCGCCGCCCTCGTCCTTGGGGCCGTTCCGGCCGGGCGCCGAGCGTCGCGCGCGACGGCCGGCGGATGGCTTCCCCGCGGCGGCGCCGCCGGCGACGACGCGCGTCACCACGTGTTCGCGCTCGGTCCGGCTGGCGGCCGGCCACGCCGCGTCGCTCCGCCGTCGGCGCGTCCTCCTGCCGGCGAGGCGGTACCGTGGCTTGATGGTGAAATCCTCGTCCCCGACGCGGAACGCGCCCAGCATCCCTCCGCACAGGCTGAGCGCGGCAGAAGAAGAGGGCGGCGGCGGCGGCGGATCAAAGCGGTCCCGTTCGTCGGACGAAGCAGAGTCGGTGGATGGCGAGCCGGGCAAGAGGTAGTCGAACCAACGAGAAACGTAATCCCGTGCCAACGAGAGGTAATCCTTCCGAGAGGAGGCGTCGCGCGCTTCAGGGGAAGGCGACGAAGAGTAACTCCCGTTCCCGGGCCGCGTCGCCACCACCGCCCCGGAGTAGAAGCACCTTGTCAGCCAGCGCTCCGCGCCTCGGAGCCGCAGCCTGGGCCGATCGCCGGGTCGACCAGGAGCCGTCTCCACGCGGAAGCCCGGCGCCAGGAAGTCCGTCTCACGGCGCAGACGAAGCGTCATCTCGCGGCCGAACGCGCGCACGTGCAGGCGCGCGCTCGCACCGGAGTCGTGGAAGCGTGGCGCCCGCACGAGGACGGACTGGTGCACGACGGGGCGGCGATCCGTCCTCGTCCGGCCCGTTGCCTCCCTCGCCCAGAAGGCACCGCTCGGCCCGAGGCGCGTCCCACTCAGCCATCAGCAGACAGAGAACCAGGAGGGCGGCAGAGCGCATGGCCCAGATGGCTCAACCGATGCCTACAGGAGCATCATTTGTACTCCGCAGGCCAGCCAGGTCACGCTTCTGGGGAGCCCGACTTGGTTCTGTCGGTGTCCTCGCCCGTCGGTTTATCTCCTGCCGATTCGCCGCGGAGAAATGTGCCCGAGCGCACACGGGAGAGGTTCGCCAAACGTTCGGACGCTTCAGAACGGCCGCGGCGAACGTGACCCGCCGAGGGACCGCGTGGGGCCACGCGCGGAAATCCCTCCGGAAGGCGAGGCCGTCGGCTCTCGGCAAGAAGGTCGGCGACAAAAAAGAAAGGGGGGTGCCAAACAGCTGGGCCGCTGAGCGAGGCAGACGACGACGGCCGAGCGACGCTGCAGGCCGGCCGAGCGGAAAGTGCAGCTTGGACGTTCAAGGGGCGACACTCTCGCAGCGAAGATCGGGCAACGGTTCTTCAAGAGCTGAAGGAGCTGCAGACCAAAGCAAACAAAGTAACGCATTTTACTTTAGACATCGCTCAGAGTCACATTTGATTAAGCCAGTCCACAGTTTGAAACAAAAAAGCGTAAGTCGTCGTTATTGGATCATACATTTTAAACTAATTTCTTTACAGCTGCTTTTTGTTTTTAGTTTGTTGCACCTTCAATTAGCACGAAAGCAACGTTTGTGGGGAATAATAGCCATTTTCTATACTTTTTAGGCATTAGAAATAAAAAAATACACTTAGTACCCTGGAACAAAAATTGTGTTACGTAGTGGAATCAGTGAATTGGAATCAAATCCAGAAGTTGGCATGTTTGACGTTCAAAACAGACGTGAACGGACTAAAACTCTATATTGATCTGGAGCGTGCATAGGAGAAGTGTTTAGTTTTCTGCAATTACGCAACCGCTGTACCGTTGTGTGTGTTTGTATTATTGTTGTTGTTGTTGTGGAGAGCGGTGGCGTCGTGGTTAGTGCACTGCGCTAGGAACCCAGAGCCCCGAGATCGATTACCGCTCACGACCAATAAAAGTAGCGAATATTTGAACCGATCCCGGGCCTCCCCTAGGTCGACTCAGCCTTAAACGAGTCCATGGTGCGGTGTGTAAAAACATCAGCACTAGGGAAACAAAGGCGGCCGAGCGTGGTGGTGGTTACCCCACCCTCTCGTGTGCCGTGCCGGCCTTCATAGGTGCTTGCTTACAGCACTTGCCCTAACAGTCTGTCAAGGGGAGGGGGAAGCTTTGTCTTTGTTATTATTGTACAAGAACAAGACTCTTTTTGCTCCCAAACAAGTCTGGCCACAATGTTCACACAGCCACGGCTCACGATGACAACGGCAACATCGCAATCAAGGTCATATAAGAATTCTGCGCTGTTGAAATCGCCCCGATAAAACGTCGCAGCAGCGCGTGGATTGATCTGAGCTGCCGATGGTGGCGATGATGACGACGGTGGCGGCGATGATGGCGATAAGATCACTCGGCTTAAGATGTGACTGCTTGCTGCACGGTCACTCCCAGCACTATCGGAGAGGAGACATCGGCCAAGTATGCGGAGACGCGAGCGGGTGACGCGCTCCGTGCGGGCGTGAAGACACGCGCCGCGCGAGGCCGCTCGAGTGGGACGCGCGCGTACGCAGAGAGGGGGGGGGGGCGCCGAGCGGTGAGCAAAGCCAAAGCTTTAGGCGCCCACGTAGCTCAAGGGGGGCCCCTCCTTGAGACAATAAAACAACATGCCAATCGATGTTGCCCACGTCTAGGTTGCCTGCCTACGTGTCATCTCGCTACACCGCTTCTGCCATGTCATCGACTCATCGACGTTTTTCTTACAGGTTCCCGTCAGCCGTGCTCACGCGGAGTTTACGAATTGAACGGGGGGGGCTCCTAAAAAATACCTCGCCCCCCCCCCACGCACCCAACGGGCCAGCACCACCACTCCAAAATATAAAGATCCCCTGTGTAGCCTTAACAGACTGTTGTGGCAATAGTTTTTTTAAGCAAGCACCTATGAAGGCTGCCACGGTACACGGCGACGTTTACACATCGCACCAGGTACTCTTTTGAGGCTGTGTCGACCTAGACGAGGCCCAGGACCGGTTCAGATAATCATCACCGGTTGTTGGTGACCGTGAGCGGGAATCCAACACGGGTGGCCGGGTTCGTAGCGCATCGCCCTACCCGCTACACCACCGCTCCCCACACCGACTGCCGAAACACACACAGACACGTGCACACCACCAATACCAACACCCGGCCATTCGACACGAATTGACGGCGACGTCACCACGGCCCCTGTGCCAGGCCAGGTGCGCTCTGAGGGCAACGCGCACGCACCTTCAGGCTGCTTGACCATACTTCCCCGCCCTGGTCGCCCACGGTGCCGCTGCCACCTGTCCGTCAGCGTCGTCTCGACTCCGCTGCTCCCTTGCGCCAGCTCTGCAGGGGAGAGTCACGTGACGCTGGTCACAATGAAAGAGGCGCGCGCCACGTGACCGGGCGGCCACGCGGTTCGAGGCATCTGGGTGGCAGCAGCAGCAGCAGCGTGCGCATCATCAGCGGCGCGCGCTTTGGGAATAAGCAAACCCCGAGCCTGAAGAAAAGCGTAGGGCCCCAGGTAGGTCAACGGGAGTTCATGGAAAAAAATACGTAAAATAAAAAAATATATACATTGATAAATAACTTAATAGTTCAATGTGGTGTTCACAAACACCGGCTCAACTTAACCCCCCCCCCCCCAATAATGATCGTTCCGAGCTAATTAAACCCCGACAAGACATGATCACCTCTGCCCCGCATCTCTGTATTATCTTCCCATCACCCCCACCCGCACTGACGCCGCGAAGCTCCGTGAAGTTTGCTCACGTAACCCGCACAGCCCTGCGCGGGCGTGGGGATAGACATTCGTCATCCAGCAGTGGCTCGACACAGAAAGCGGGTTTCTAGCCGGACGTAAACACACGCACAGGCACACGTGTGTGCACACGTGTGCACACGCGGGCGTCATGCATCACCGTCTACGCACGGTGCGTTGTACGCGCACCGGCTCATGTATCCATCAAACGTTGAAAAGTAACGAGCAAAAAATACAACAGCAGCCCCACACCACGGGGCAAGGAGTTGAGTGCACGAGCATACTTAGCAACAACAACAACAACAAACTCAACACAATCGTCAACAATGCTGTGGCTTTAAAATAGCACATATATAATCGGTGACGTTTCGGGCAACGGCCCTTCTCCATGTGCCATGTGGAAGAATATCGGTGTACCCGTGTTAGAAGTTTGTCTTTAATACCGGACGTCTGGTGTCCGTGGGAAGTTGAATCACAATGGTGCACGGCAGCCCCAGCAGCAGCAGCAACAATGACAACACCAACAACAATCACATTCTATAGGTCGGCAGTGGGTGGAGTGGGGTGGGTGAGCTACTCACTGTGAGCAGAGAACACAGGGAGTGTGTGAGTGAGTGTGAGTGAGTGAGTGTGAGTGAGGGAGTGTGATGAGTGAGTGAGAGGGAGTGAGTGTGAGAGTGAGTGAGTGTGAGAGTGAGTGAGTGTGAGTGAGTGAGAGTGGGTGTGTGAGTGAGTGTTAGTGATGGAGTGTGATGAGTGAGTGAGAGGGAGTGAGTGTGAGAAGGAGTGAGTGTGTGATAGAGTGAGTCTGAGTGTGTGTGAGTGAGTGATAGTGTGAGTGAGTGTGTGTGTGAGTGAGTGAGTGTGAGAGTGAGTGTGTGAGTGAGTGTTTGAGTGAGTGTGTGAGTGAGTGAGTGTGTGAGTGAGTGAGAGTGAGTGAGTGTGTCAGTGAGTGAGTGTGTCAGTGAGTGAGCGAGTGTGAGTGAGTGAGAGTGAATGTGTGAGTGAGTGTGAGTGAGGGAGTGTGATGAGTGAGTGAGAGGGAAGTGAGTGTGAGTGAGTGTGTGATAGAGTGAGTGTGAGTGTGTGTGAGTGAGTATGTGAGTGAGTGAGAGTGTGAGTGAGTGTGTGAGTGAGTGAATGTGAGAGTGAGTGTGTGAGTGAGTGTTTGAGTGAGTAAGTGAGTGTATGAGTGAGTGAGAGTGAGTGAGAGTGAGAGTAAGTGAGTGAGTGAGTGCGTGTGTGAGTGAGGGAGTGTGAGTGAGGGAGTGTGAGTGAGAGTGAGTGAGTGAGTGTGTGAGTCAGTGAGAGAGGGTGAGTGAGTGAGTGTGTGTGAGTGAGTGTGAGTGTGTGAGTGAGTGTGTTAGTAAGTGAGTGTGAGTGAGGGAGTGTGAGTGAGTGAGTGAGAGTGAGTGAGTGTGAGAGTGAGTGTGTGAGTGAGTGAGGGAGTGTGAGTGAGAGTGTGTGAGTGTGTGAGTGAGTGAGAGTGTGTGAGTGAGTGTGTGAGTGAGTGTGTGAGTGAGTGTGAGTGAGTGTTTGAGTGTGTGAGTGAGTGTGTGAGTAAGTGAGTGTATGAGTGTGAGAGTGAGTGTGTGAGTGAGTGAGTGAGGGAGTGTGAGAGTGTGTGAGTGAGTGAGTGAGAGTGAGTGAGTGTGAGAGTGAGTGAGTGTGAGAGTGAGTGAGTGTGTGAGTGTGTGAGTGAGTGTGTGAGTGAGTGTGAGTGAGTGAGTGAGTGAGAGTGAGTGAGAGTGAGTGAATGAGGGAGTGTGAGTGAGTGAGTGTGAGTGAGTGTGAGTGAGTGAGTGTGAGAGTGAGTGTGTGAGTGTGTGAGTGTGAGAGTGAGTGTGTGAGTGAGTGTTTGAGTGAGTTTGAGAGTATATGAGTATGTAAGTGAGTGTGTGAGTGTGTGAGTGAGTGTGAGAGTGAGTGTGTGAGTGTGTGAGTGAGTGTGTGAGTGAGTTAGAGTGAGTGAGTGAGGGAGTCTGAGTGAGTGAGTGTGTGTGAGTGAGTGTGAGAGTGAGTATGTGAGTGAGTGTGTGAGTGAGTGTGTGAGTGAGTGTATGAGTGTGTGAGTGTGTGAGTGAGTGAGTGTGTGAGTGAGTGAGTGTGTGAGTGAGTGAATGAGTGAGTGTGTAAGAGTGAGTGTGTGTGTGAGTGAGTGTGTAAGAGTGAGTGTGTGAGTGTGTGTGAGTGAGTGTGAGACTCTTACATGCGCCCGTGAGACCGACAGGAGCGTTGCATCCTCCTCTGATCTCCAGTGCCTCACTCCGCTCTCCCTCCGCTCACTCCTCTCCGCTCTCGCTCGCTCGCTGCTCACTGATGAAGGTTGCAAGTGGAGCGCTTCGCGTTTATAAGCGGCGGGGCGGGGCGGTGTGCGGTGTTATTGTGAGTGTGCGAGTCGGCTGTGCGCGCGTGTGCTGTGCGTGTGAGTTGTGTGTGAGTTGTGTCAGAGCGGTGGCGCAGTGGTTAGCGCACTGCGCTGCAAAACCTGGCGACCCGAGTTGGATTCCCGCTCATGATCATAACCAGTGACGATTATCTGAAACAGGTCCTGGACCTCAAATGAGGACCGGTCGCAATGTGTAAACATCGCCGCTGGGGAGACAAAGGTGGCCGGGCATGGTGCTGTCCACCCAGCCCCCTTGTGTATCGTGCCGGCCTTAATAGGTGCTCGCTAACAACGGCCTCTGTGAGACTGAGTGTGTGTGTGATTGACAGTGTGTGAGTGTCTTGATGAACGCGTGTTAATGTGCGTGCGTACGCGCGCTTGTTTGTGAATGTGAGTCGCGTGTGTGTCTGCATGCACGTGTGTGTGTGTGTTTGGCTCGCGTGCGTGTGATTGTCCAGTGTGTGCGTGTTTATGAATGTGATTGCGCGTGTGCGCGCGTGTGCGTGTGTGCGCGTGTGTGTGAATGGATGCGATGTGTATTAATGGGGAGGGGTGACGTAGTGGTTAGCGCACTTGCGCTACGAACCGGACGGCCCGGGTTCGTGTCCTGCTCACCGTCTAAACCATCGGCGACAAATCATCTCAACCAATTCTGGGTCTCCCCTTTGGTCGACTGACACTGGGGAGACAAATGCGGCCGCGAGTGGCTGTCGGTCACAGCAGCCTCTCATGCACCGGCCCTAATAGGTGCTCGCTAACAGCACTGGTCACGCCACCCTGCATAGGCGAGACGGGGAGGCGGGTGAAGGGTGGTGGGGGGGATCTTTGTCTTCGTATGGAATGTTTGTGATTCCGTGGGTGTTTGTGTCGCGAGCGCCGTGGATTGCCATGCGGGGCAGCATGGGGATGTGGACAGAGTGGGGCTGGAGTGAGTTGGGGGGGGTGGGCAACTCCCCCTTCCCCCGATCCCCCTCCCCATCCGCCCCCCCCCCCTTGTATTTTGTTCAGCGTCGGGATCAGAAATATGGTGGCACCCCCTCAATGAATATCCACTCGGCGTGGGCTCCATGGCGACTCGCTCCACGAGCCGGGACGCGGGTGGAACCCACTACTCCCATGGGGCCCCCCACTTACATACAGCCCCCCGCCCCCCTCTCTCTCTCTACGTCTCTCTCCGTGTCTCTGAGTCTTGTCCGTCAGTTCTGTCACTCTCTGCGCGTCTCTGTCTCTCTCTGCGCGTCTCTCTTCGCTCGCCCGCGGCTCTCGGCGTCTCGCGGTGTGCCGCGTACAGAGTTAGACTGATGGCCTTCATCTAAGTTGTCTTGTGGTTGTTGTTGGTTGTTTGACTTGCATCCCACTGGGATTTTTGCACACAGCGTTGGTGTGTAACGGTGTTTTTTTCTGCAATATTTTGCTGTCTTTTCTTGGATTTTCTGTTTGCACATAGTCACATATTCACTTTAAGATGTTTTTTGTTCATGTTTTTTTGTTTGTTGCGGTTGCACCCGATTCAAGAGCCGAATGGCTCACAGGGCTATACCTAATAAATGAACTTGAACTTGAACTCTCTCTCTCTCTTGGACAAGAAGTCTCGCCTCGCCGGACGAGCCCGTAACTTTCTCTGGACGCGGAGAGAACTAAAGTCTCGTCGCTAATTTTAATGAATCCACCTCAACAACACGTGGGTACACATTCACACACAAAAACACCCCCCCTCCCTCCCCCCCGTGGAGTCTCAGAGACCGGGGCGCCCACAAGTGGCACGTGCCTTCCCTTGTGGTAGAAGTAATAATATTTATTAAGAACCCACCCACCCCGTACCTGTACAGCTGTGTGACTCTTTGTTGTTTCATTGGCCGCAGATTCCAATCCACCCACGACCCCGCACTTTGATCGCACACCCACCGGTCTAATACCCAAGTGTCCTTTCGAATACAGCCGTAAAGTTGTAATACCCAAGCCAGTGGTGCCCTTACAACTCTACGCCTGTACCCTTAACCGTCTCAACCAGTCCCATTGAAAAGGGGGCACGACCACCCCCCCCCCCCACCACCACCACCTCCATCGTTTAAAATACGACGCACGCGTGTATGTTGAACCGCTTTCGCACCGTACGTAGCCACACGCGCTGATCGGAGGTGGGTGAAGCGAGGAGTCGTCGTCTTACGCGCTGAGATGCGTTCCTGGGGAGTGGCGCTTTAAGCGAAAAACTTCGTGAAGCGAAAACAATTTCCCCCCGTGCATAATGTGACGATAAAGTTTGTCGAGATGTGATTGACTACGCGCGCGGTGAGATGGCGAGACAAATGACGGAGGGCACGCCACCGCATTACCGAATCACTCCGCTGACTCCAGTGTTATTCATAATAAAGTTGTTGGGTTAGATCATCACGCTATTTATAAATGTGTCGTAACCCTCCACCACCCGACACGGCCAATCAGCAAAAAAGTGTCACGTTGACAAAAGACAAAATAGTTCACTACTTTAGCCCACCGGTGTGTTGAAGAGTGAATCCACAACATTTACAGTTTTTGAGTAGTACGACGTTTCGCTGGTAATTGCATCCAGCATCATCGGGCAATTCGCCAGAATGGTGAAGCCCTCACTTGCTCCCGTTCTTAAAGCAGTGAACTATTTGTCTTTTGTCAACGTGACACTTTTTTGCTGATTGGCCGTGTCGGATGGTGGAGGGTAACGACACATGTATAACTATCGCGATCTAAGCCAAAAACGTTTATTATGAGTAATATTGGTCGCGAAAACCTCCGTGTTACTCTATTGTTATTGTTAGAATCGGATTTTACTATATTTCTATTGGATGTTACCTTTACCCGCGAGCGTGGTGTCTTCAACGTACTGCCCTGTGAAATATTTCGTTTTGAAAGGCACTTCGCGAAATAAGGATCCTCATAATCAACGTTTTTGGGTTTAGATCGCGTTATTTATAAATGTGTCGTAACCCTCCACCACCCGACACGGCCAATCAGTAAAAAAGTGCCACGTTGACAAAAGACAAATAGTTCACTGCTTTAGCCCACCGGTGTGTTGAAGCCACAACATTGCGATCTAAACCCAAAAACGTTGATTATGAACAACATTGGTCGCGAAAGCCTACGTGTTATAAGGATCCTCATTAACAGTATCGATCCGTCACAGAGCGTTGTCGCGAGCGGTGACGTCACAGTTCGCTCCGTACTCTGTGACGTCACATCTTAATTCGGGATCTGTGACGTCACATCTTAATCCGGGATCTGTGACGTCGCCAGGTGCGACTGTTTCGCTCGCCCTGCCATCAACAGTTCATGCAAATCACCTGCCGAGGTTACATTCAGGCCGACTGATCGAACATAGCTGGGCCAACTATCCAAATGATACGGCAAATCAAAGAATCGATTGTTCAAATGAAACGGCGTTCCAGAGTGATGACAAATTCAGTGGACTCGCTGGGTCGTCGCGGCGGCGGTGATCGGCCTCCACGGGCGAGCAAAGGACATCTCTCAAAAAGAGCTTTACAGCTCATCGGATTCCTCCTCCAGGATAAACAAATATGCTGAGCGATCTGGAATGCCCGCTGCTGCCGCGGGGAAGCCACACGCGGCTGTTTATTCTAATCGGAGGCAGCCGCGCGTGGAGTCCGCACATCGGACACGAAGCCGCAGCTCGCGGTCTCCGCCGTGACGATGGCGGCGTCTGAGAGACGAGGAGATGACAGACGCGAGGTGATGCGTACTGGAGCTTAAACATCTTCTTTTTTAAGCCACGTGAGAATCCGTTGGAACTTAAAAGTGCATTTGCGTTACACGTGTAACGCATGTTGAACTTCGTTCGCACCGTACGTGGCCCATCGTGCTAAGCGGAGGCATGGACAGTAACAATATTTACGCGATCTAACCCCAAAAAATTATGGATTGATATTGGTCGCGAAAGTCTACGCGTTAAACCGAACAACAACAGAATTGTACAACATTCGAATGTTGAATACCATGCACTTACCCTCAAGCCAGACTCGTCAAAATAATAATAATAACAACATGAATGAGCGCCTACAGAGAACCAAGGTCAAGAGGTCAACATAGCCAACGCAGTTGATGCCCTCCACACCGTGACCTCGCGTCCCTTCTGCTAGAACCCCGGAGTTCATCTTCTTGGTTCTTTCGGTAAAGTCACGTAGAAGGGCAAATAATGAAATAATAAAAATAAAACATCATAAAATACAATTCTCACGACGTTTCGGCCACAACACAAGCAGCCGTCTTCAGGTGAAGACAGAGCTGTCTGAAAGACAGCGCTCCAATGAACACTGCTAAGCTTGGCAGCGTATTTTAAGCTGGGTGGGAGGAGAAGAGCGCCTTGACAAAGGAGTTTACATATCAACAGAAGAATTTAGCATTGAATAAGCTGTGTTGATGCGAGAGGATTAGCAGGATGTTAAAGTCAGAAATGAGCATGTAACTGGGAGATTAGCATGATGTTGATGTGAGGAATTAGCATATAACTGGTCACGGAAGTAGCGTTGTCACAAAGTTGACACTCAACTTCTCACACAGTGCTTCCCCGTCCCCTTGACCCTCAGCTCATTGGTCACTAACTAACCTTGATCATCAGCCTTGGTCGCCACTCCACATTCCGTCTCATCACCCCCCCCCCCCTCTTCCCACCATGCACACGCCGTATCAACACACCACAACCCTCAATTTCCTGCACTATTAAAATCATCGCTAACACTTTCTCGACATGTCCTCTTCCAGCACTGCCACGCTGCCTACTCTCTCTCTCTCTATCCTTCCTTGACGTCCGTAGCGTCCTCTGCACGTACAATAATACTGGTAGGAACCTCCTGGTTACACCAGCCCACAGGGGATTATTGTGTCCGTCCGTCCGTCGTGAAGGTAGGGGCTGGGTGGGGAGGGAGGGGCTGGGTGGGGAGGGGAGGGTGGGGAGGGGCTGGGTGGGGAGGGGAGGGTGGGGGGGGGCTGGGTGGGGAGGGTGGGTAGGGGCTGGGTGGGGAGGGTGGGGCTGGGTGGGAGGGGTGGGGCTGGGTGGGGAGGGGCTGGTCACCGCGTGGTGCCCTTATAAAACTCAA